TGGTCGCCCAAGCGATTGGCCGCGGACGTCGCGAGCGCGTCCCTGGGTCCAAGCTGGTTTTATGGGAACCCTTAAACCCTAAACCCTGAACCCTAAGCCCTAAACCCTAAACCCCCAATCCCGTGCTTGGAGGTTTAGGGTTTAGAATCTTAGAAGACTGAGAGTCTTAAGGCAGACAGATGCATCCACCTAGTTTGAGGTTTAGGGTCAAAATGAGTTTCACGTGACGAAGGGACCGTAATGGTTTAAGGAAGTTTAGTGGTTCATGCTAGATCTTTAGTGGTGCCCCCCCCCCCCGTAGTTTGAGGTTCACGGTTTTGAGGGATTTCAGAAACTTTCGAAGGACACTGGTCGTGTCGAGTTTAGGAAACCGCAGTAGATTGTTGTGGCCCATCTTCCTGCTACAGAGCACTAGTTCAACACATCGGGGTTCCCACGCAAATACAAGGGTACTTGTATTATCCTTACTACATTATCCTAAACCCTAAAATTAGGCCCTACACACTCATAAGACTAGACTCTAAATAGCAACCTTGTAGTCCTTTTTACGGGCCCCTTCTTTGCAGACCCCGAGGTCAATTCTCGGCTTCGTGGGGGACGTTGTTTGTCAGCTCGCAGTCGAGCGGCGGCGATCTCCAAAGGAGCCTAGGGGTGTCTTGGGTCTAGGGTTTAGGGTTNNGTTTAGAGTCTACCTAGACCCCAAAGAACCTACCCCTTTAAGGACGTCTATAAGGAAATCATAATAAGGAACGCTAAAAAGGGAGGTTCTTAAGGGTCCAGGTAGGGTACAGGGCTTACGAACCCTCATCGTTGACTCTAAACCCTAAAGGTTTCTAACCCCAAATAACCCGAAACCTCGAACCCCTAGACCCTAAACCCTAAACCCCAAACCTCAAACCCCTAGACCGGACCTTGAAACTGCGTGCAGTTGTTTTTGGCGGAGCAATGGCTGGATTGGCTCTTAAGGCGCAAGGATGGGGGCTTGTTCTCGGTTTGGGGTTTAGGGTTTTGGGGTTTTAGGCTTTAGGGATTAGGGTTTTGGGGTT